TGTGAAAGCCTTCGACAATATATGAAGGAGTGATTTGCAACTTTGTTAAAGCATCCAGTTCTCTTACAAGACTCACATGTGTACTTCAGATGCTGTTTTCATGTTTATATGACTGCATATTCACTTCATTACTGGTCCTTGTTGAAGGTATTGTCTGTATGTAGAGAGAGCCAGAAACAGCTTTTGCAGATGTTGTCTGAAACTTTCAAAAATCAGGCTTTTTTAAAAAAAGGTTCTTTGTTCACATTCCTACACATTGCAGCTTTGAAAATATGTACATATTTAAATATATTTCACACACACACACAATTCAGATAACTGAAGACCGAGGATTAAGTATAACATAGTAATTAAGTTATTGGACCTCTGCCAAGGAGGCCCTGGTTAAAGTCCTAATTCAGACTCTCATCATAGAGCAACTTAGGAGTGACTTGGAGGCTATCACTCACTTTCATTACAGCCTTCCTCATTGTTATTGTGGAAATAAATTTTCGGTATACCTTACATGTATTGTCTAGGGTTCCTGGACAAAAATGGGTTATAAATGCAATAAATATTAAATAAATAGTACTGAACAATATTTTCTGAGATGTCCTATTATGTTGCTTTTTAATATGTCATTCTTCCTTTCCTTTGGTGATAATTTTGGTTAGTTTTTATTGTTTTTGCTTGATAAATCGCACAGAATTAAGTGTGCTTACTTATTTGTTTATGCTGGTCTATGACAGTAATGAACAATTCATTCATTCATTTACTCAGTGTGCCTACTGAGAAAGTTTGTATTTAAGAGTTTTTACTAGTTAAGCATGCATAGATTTGCAGTTTTAATATTGCTTTTATTTCTTTCATTTTTAATTATATTATTTTTTAAAAATGCAACAGATTTTAGAGCAGAAAAAGGGGTGTGTGTGTGTAAGTTTGGATAGATAGACATAGTTTAGAACAAGGATGGAAAAGTAGTATTCAAGATACTATTAAACTATTATCAGCAGTGATCTATGGTAAAGGATTCTGCTTCAAAAATATCTGAAAGACTAAAGGTCTCCTCAAATTACTCTTCTCTTCTCTTCTCTTCTCTTCTCTTCTCTTCTCTTCTCTTCTCTTCTCTTCTCTTCTCTTCTCT